AGGATAACTTGGTTTAAGAACATGTGCCACAGCCGCCGTGCTGTATCACTCTACACTCGGGAATCAGACCTATTTGTTTGGAAAAATGAGCTCTAAGAAAACTTGCGACTGGAGAAAATACAATCGTTCAATCGTTCGTATTAAATAAACGTGATCACAGATAAACACTGTAGCCTCAAACAAGAATATATACGTAATTTGCTCTGAACCAGTCTGTTTATATTTTCTTTGATCTTGTGTCTTGTATTTTCTTGCGAAGGTGAGGGAAGTGTGGTTTTAACTCTTTGATGTGACTGATGTCGTATCCCGCAAAATATATTAGCCAGAGATACTTATTTTATGTTAAAATGTTAAAATAAATCTATGTTTACATTCACCCATAATTTAATATCTTCAAGGCCATCCAATCTTCGCTGTAGCATCTCGTTTTGTTGCTTGTGTTGCATATATTTTTTAGATATCGCGCGTAGCATTCTTCGCTCGCTAGCGGTTCACCGGCATAAAGGCATGCATCATAATCGCCTAAAATTTCGCTATCAACTGCTTCTAGAGTTCCAATTTCGTGACTAGTATCATTTGATTCATCCTCTATAATATATCCAGGAATATAATTGTATTCTGAGTCACATTGAGAACTTTCTGAATCCAAGCTACTGCCTGACATGCTGGAAAATATATCAAATGTATAATGCGCGTCGAAATTAAGTCCCTTAAGCTACGTCACACCACGCTCGTCGCAGACTCTTGTTGATACGCAACAATTTTACGAAAATCGCTGTTTAGAGCCTCGTATCTCGCGAATAAAAATAGAAAACCGAAAAATGTTAAAGAACCTATTAACTAACTTTTTGTCCTCTACCAAATATCAAAAAAAAAATTTTGTGACATAAGCACTTTAAAACAATGTACAAAAGAACTGTCAATATCATTATGTAATCTGTTTAATAAGTCATTTCATTCAGGCATATTACCAACAGATTGGAAGATTGCAAATATGACTCCAATTCACAAAAAACGACCTAAGAACAACAAAGAAAATTACAGGCAGATCTTGCTGACGTCGATAGTTTGTAATGCACCTATCAATGTTAGGCCGTCGGGGGGAGGGGAGGCGGGGCAAGGGGGCAGGATTTGATGAGAAAGTATATCCTGTGAGTGGGGAATTTGACAATCAGTACAGTTGCGGGGGCAGGGGTATTTGAGAAATTTTAAAAATTGTTGTCATTTTGCATATATAATGAGCAGAGACACAGTGGGATCTCCGGAACATCTGGGACAAATTTTTGCCACCAAATCATGTGTTGTCAGTTCTGGAAAATGGCGGGGAATACTGAATACGATATAAGCTGTTGATTTTTCTCATTTTAATATTCATGAATTGTACTTCTCTTGAAGCAATATAAATAATAGAATACGAACATTTATTTGTCAAGATGTGGATATTATGATATTAAACCACTTTGTTTAATTTATTTCAAAAATTAAATTGTATTTATGTTTCACGTACCGTACGTACGGTAAATGATATATTCAACATGAACAAGTGTTTTCTCTCCGATATACGGACAAGCAGGTTGAATATATGAGGCAATTGTCCATATTTAGAAATCATAGGAAAAACCTTTGCAATTGTTGGATATGCCTTCTCAAACAAATCCATACTTCAAAAGAAAATTGAGAATTAAATTTTGGCAAAAAATGGCCATAATCCTATGATTTCTAAATATACTTCTTAATATACTTCCTTTATGAATTATTCAGTTTGAGAAATCTCTTTGAAACAGTTTTAATTGCCCCTGGGTATGATCGATTTGACCAGCACTTGAATCCCTGGGGTAGGGGATTTGACACAAAATTTTGTTTGAATGTCAAATCCCCCCCCCCCGGCCGGCCTAACATTGCAGTGCATAAAGTGGCAGAAAAAAATAAGATCAAGAGTGATGGTATTCTGGATGGAACATCCATCACTTATTAAATCAAAATCAGTTTGGATATTTGAATGGAAAGTCTACAATAGCACAACTTTTAAGTTGTTGCAATGATTGGCATGCATCAAGAAATTCTGCTAAAGCAACAGATGTTGCATTTTTTAATTTGTCAAAGGCATTTGACAGTGTACCTCATGAACGCTTAATACTCAAATTTGAACAGGTTTGGCATAGATGGTTAAGAAATTTTCTAACTGAAAGACAACAGAGAGTGTGTATATGCGGCTCCCTTTCGAACTGGGCTCCAGGGTGCCCCAAGGTTGATTCTTGGTCCAATTTTGTTTCTCGTTTATGTAAACGACATACCAAACATAGTTACGTCCAGCACTAAACTGTTTGCAGACAACACCAAGATTTATAGAGAATTGACCGGACCTAAAGATATAAATGAGCTACAACTGGACTTAGTATCTTTAGAAAAGTGGGCGTTAAATTGGCAGGTTAAATTGAGAAATATGTGAAGTTTTGAAAATAATCCATAAAAGAGACAAAATTAGCAATAAATATTATATTTCTAATAAAGAATTAAAGAACGTACAAGATTACAAAGATCTTGGGGTCATAGTTACAACCGACCTAAAATGGTCTAAATACATAGAATCAATAGTAAATAAGGCAAATAAAACCCTTGGCTTGATAACACACATACAGCGGGTGGCAGAAACAAGGATGTTTTTCAATGGTTTCCAAATCGCTCGTTCGTCCAATATTAGAATATGCATGCCCCGTGTCGGATCCACATTTAGTGAAAGATATCAAAATGGTTGAGGCTGTTCAAAGAAGAGCATCGCATATTGCACTGGGTCAAAGGAGGCAAGAAATGTGGTATGAAGAAAGATGTAACATCTTAAATTGGAGTTCATTGGAAAGAAGAGAATATTTCTCACTGATCGAATGTTATAAAACTGTCTTTAATTTAAACGGTCTAAATCTCAGCGACTATTTTGAACATTGTAAGAGTAAGAAAACTAGGGCTAACCATCCATACAAATTGCAAACTAAGTTTACTAGAGTAGATTGTCACAAGTACTCTTTTTTCGTTAGTAACTAGTAACTAAACTGTGGAATGATTTGCCAAATATTGTTGTAAATTGCGGTAACAAGCCTGATATAAGAACATTTAAAGCAAGGCTCAAGAAGTACATGAACATTCATTAAGATTGGTATTAAGTTTGTAAAATCGAGGACATTTGTACATATTTTATAACCTTTTATACTAGATTAGATTCAAATACGGTGACCTGAATATAGGGCTAACCTCAAGGTCTACCTTTTTCAAAGACCAGTGTAATTATATTTTGTTATTTGAAATAAAGTACTATTATTATCATGGTTACCAGTCGGCAATAGGCCTGGCTGATAGCCGTATTGCTGGCTGGTAGCCGTGATGTATTGTAGTATACTACAGTATACTACCGACAAGTTCGGCTGACAGTCGTATTGCATTGTAGTATTGTATTACAGTTAAATAACCCCGGCTGGTAGCCATGTTTTATGCTATGCTATAGTATATAGCCGTACTCGGCACTGTATTGCAGTTAAAAATAACCTTGGCTGGTAGCTGTGATGTATTGTAGTATACTGTAGTATACTACAGACAGGATCGGCTGATAGCCGTGATGTATTGTAGTATACTACTGACAGGCTCGGCTGACAGTCGTATTGCATTGTAGTATTGTATAACAGTTAAATAAGTATAATATAGTACAGCCCGGATGGCAGCCGAGCAATCGGAGACAAAATTTCAGGCTGTCAGCCTACGTCAAATAGTCAGGCAGATAGAAGGAAGAACACTCACCAATCGAGGGGCAATTTCATTTCATGATAGAAATGTTCTTCTAAACCTCCTAAATACATTTCCGGATGTTGGCCGGTCCAATTTTTCTGGTGGGGCTTGTCCAACAAGCTTTTCTGTCATCATCGATTGATTTTTAGAAAACGCCATTTTGTTTATGTTTTTCGCGGGAAGAAACGAGCCCTCAGTGTTTCTGTCCAGCGGCAGCGGAGTATGATAAATAAAACGCCAGAATCGTTTCCACAGTAAGAACTGCCAAACAGGAGATATTACTTTAGAAATTAACACAAAAAGATGTAAATTTTGGAATTATTTTTAGGACAAAAATATAAAAAATCATGCAGATAGAAGGAAAAACACTAAGCAATCGAGGGGCAATTACAAATCCGGATGTTGGCCGTGGCGCCATGCCCATTTTTCTTGAGAGATTCAGCATTGTGGTAAATGAGAAAACTGTTCAATTAATAACCATTTTTAAACAGCAGCATGGTGGAAAGTGAGAACACTGTTCAATGAATAACCATTTTTGGACAGTAGCACGGTGGTAACGAAAAGACTGTTCAATTAATAACCATTTTTAAACAGCAGCATGTTGGAAAGTGAGAAGACTGTTCAATAAATAACCATCTTTGGACAGTAGCACGGTAGTAAACGTAAAAGACTGTTCAATTAATAACCATTTTTAAATTAAACAGGAGCACGGTGGTAAACAAGAAGACTGTTCAATTAACCCATTAAGCGCCAGCGCTCTCCCCTTGATGAGTAAAATCATCTGGCGTTAGACAGACTAAAATACTAAAGTAGGGTGCATCAAGGTGCAATGCAACTCAATGGGTTAACTAGACACATGGGCAGATAGACCAGTTAACCCATTAAGCGCCAACGCTCTCCCCTTGACGAGTAAAATCATCTGGCGTTACACAGAGTAAAATACTAAAGTAGGGTGCATCAGGGTGCAATGCGACTCAATGAGTTAATAACCATTTTTAAACAGCAGCACTATCGAAGTTTTCATATGTGTTTACGTCATCATTATGGAGTGGCAGATTCGAGCACGCGTTGCAACAGCAAAGGTCAGTACAATTTAGGCTGTTGGAAACACAAACGCACATGTTATTTTGACAGCCTGATTTCTTGCAACCGCATGACAAAAACTCCAATAAGGAATCTGGTGCAGGCTTTTGACTCATCCATTTCGGTTCCAAAACTCCGTTCGATCAAAGCCAACCCCGACCTTCTGGCTGTGGAGGATCTGTGTTCATAGTCAATGCCGACTTCCAAATACACGTCACATAGTTAGCGTGCTGACAGTGAAGTAATAATTCGTCTTTGGTTGGTGGGAGTTGCTGTGGTTCTGGAATCTTATTTTTGGTGCAGAATTTCATGTAGAGGGCATCGTTTATACTGGTGCAGCCTTTAATGCCATAAAACTGAGCGACCATTTCTTCTACCAAAAGGAAAAGGTTTGTGTCGAAATCAAAACTATCGCCCATCTGCGCCAATGTTTCTTTAAAACGGCCACAACTCTTGACGATCTTGTACACTTTTTGTTTTCCAAGACCATAAAACGCACTTGTTGAATCACAACCGCTGATTGCGTGCAACGCTGGAAGAGCACTTGACATTTGTTCACCAACGCCCTCGGAAATGTTTTGGATTGATAAAATTCTCTTCTTCCCTTTTGAACCTATTTCAAGAAACATATTACAGTGGATTTGTTGTTTGAAATAGATGGCCAAGATTCCAACATCACTATCGACTGTTGAGATGCAAATATTTGGGTTCTGAAATCGGTGGACAGCATGCTGGCAACATAGAAACATCTTCGTATCAGCCTCTTCTTGGTTTGAACAAAGGCTTTCTTCCATGCCAATGACAACATTATCTTCTTCTACTCTCAGCTGGTGACACTCGCTCTCCAAAGTCAAGAACACAACTCTATCTTCGATAATGGTTTTGAAGCAGGGACCAATCATCCATGAAGAATCTCACCAGATCGACTTTGTTCACACCATCACTGAGATATTTCTTGAACTGCTTTGGTCGTTTCTGATCTCTTCTTGTTAAGTGGATCCAAATACTTCCAGATGCAGCTTGTCGTTGGCGTTCACTTCCTTTTAAGGAATCATCAAGATATTGGTCAGTAACAAAATAGATCACTTTACCAGGACGAGATGTAATCCGCTTAAGGACATATTCTGAGATTTCACCGAATCTTGCCAAACTCAAAGACGCCATCTGTTGAATAATAACCATGCCATCAAATATTCGTACACAATTGTCAGGAAGAGTATCCACAATCGAATCTACTACATCCTTCTCGATAGCATCAAGCAATTTTGACTTAACAGTTTTAACAAAGCTTCCGTCGGCTGTTGCTAGCGACCATGGAATAGGGCCCAAGGAGTAGGTTAGGACTTCTTTCAAGGAAACGTCACGCTTACCACGTATTACTAATAGCCGTGCAAATATATGGCGGTCCGCTTTCAGCGTTAGACTTCTATCTTTAACGGTGCACGATTTCTTCACCTTCATTGCTGCAAAAGTTTTCAGCTTCATCTTTGGAAGGGGTATGTATAGGTCTTGTTCATTGGATTCTATCCGGTTTTCTATGGAGTTGTTTAGTGCTTCTTTGCCTTTTTTCTCAGCATTCAACATATCATCTTGGATTGCAGCGGTGTATTCCAATCCAGAACTTAAGATGTATGAGGGAGGTATTTTCTTTAAATGGCGTTCCCCACTCCTTAATCAAATCGTAGCTGCGAGCAACACATTCCTCATCATGACGTATTCTCTTCCGTGCCAAGTCTTTTGTCACACTATTTGCTTCTGACATTCCAAGAAACTCTTCTAACTTGGACTGGCACTTTGCTGCGATATGACTTGTAAGAGACCATCTTTGTACAGTTCCTTTGTCAGTGCTGTAACCAATAATTCCACCAGCACACTTTTGCTCTCGATTGATAGTCTGCTCGATGGCTTGATCTGATGGTATCTTGTTGAATCTACCATGCTGTCTTCTCACTGAAAAATGGCCAGATTCGAATTGTTGATGCAAAGCCGGATGAGTTTCGGGCAATTTCTTCATGGTGACCAAGTAATACGTAAGGAAACGTGTATAGTTGAGACGATCGTATCCAAACATCCAAGGTAACATGTATTCTGTTGACTGAAGATGTAATTTCCAATCTCCAAGCTTGACGGATCGTGCAAAATCGAGCAATATCTGGACCATCTGCAAAAACGAAGACCAAACAGATGCTGTTGGACCGAGGGCGCCATTCAACAAGGATGCCTCATACTTGTGTATTTCGTCAATCATTTCTTTGTGATCTTTGCTTAACGAATCAAGGGACTGCTGAGTTGGAGAAGAAACAAATTTTTGGAGCTCTTCCGAGTCGATTAGCTCTTCGTAACTAACTGCACTTAGCAGGTCTGGTTGGTCGCTCTCACTTTGCTCGTAGCTATCGATGAGGTGTCTCTTGATGGCATTGTATAGGTACTTTGGGATTCTCATGGCATTGTTATAATGCTTTCCCTTTAACATTTGCTCTACTGAAGATTCTCCGAGCAGATTCGATTCAATCACAATATCACGAAGGCCAGCATCGCCAAATCGCTTCCCGATCACAGCTATGAAGATACACATAGTATGGAAACCGCCAAGGTGCAAAACAATGAACTTTTTTAGATCAATGTACCTTGGGTTCATCATGATTTCAACGGCTTTAGAGTAGATCGCCATATCAAGTATGACATCTGTTTCATTTAAGCCAAGTTTCTCCGCTTTAAGTTTGGATTGGCTCAGAAGCTCCAATACAGTGTCGTGGGAAGTTGGAGATTTGCTAATGGATGGGAGGTACCCAATTTTGTCATAATCATCGCTATCACCTTCGCACAGCAAAATAATTGAAGCCCGTCCAGTTCTGAATATTCTGTTCAATGTTCCTCTTTCTTGCTTGGCTTTTGGCGATGATCCACATTGTATCTACCACATGGAAATGTTGTACTTCCTCTTGGTACATATGAAGTTGAACTTCGGTTGTGCTTTCTGTATTTTTTCTCTTTATCTGAACATAGGATTGGCATTTCAAGTGGCATTGAATTTTTTTGTTTTATTCTTTCCAGTGCTCACTGCTGAGACAATGGTAGAGAAAGGCTCGGGTTGATTTAATGCTACTATTGAGGACTGTATAACAATACTGTTGGTGCAATGCAAACTAAGTCCTTTTAGACTCTCAGGGTTAATATCATTGTTATCCCATACGAAGGTGACAAAGCGAGATGGTTGAATAATAGCTGGAGTAAATGATCGATGAACTTGATCGATGAACTTGATCCTTCGAATATTCTAACGCCAAATGCGTCTCCAGTATTAGAACATCGTCATACAAGACTCTGTGACCAAACTTGTTCATCCAATTGATGACAGCCTTCGAACCGGTCTTTCTTTTAATCGAGAAGGAGAAAGTCGCGTGTTTCGATGTTTTCTTTTGACCATTGTTAGCATAATAAATGAGATCTTGACCAATTGAGGAAATCAAACGTGATACTTTTGCAGATTTTGAGGGCTTTTTAGTTAGGATGGATTTCAATAAACACGTTGTTACATTTCAATAAGCACGTTGTAAAAATATTCCGTTGCAAGTATCGTCTGCCAGTCACTACCAAGAACTTTTGCTTGCAAAAGTGAGTATTCGTGAAGTGCAGCAGCTTGTTGCAATGTTCGAGCCCCGTTCTCAGTTTCGCATTTCTCAAGTGCTTCATATCCACTCCCACACTTTGCCGTTTTCCTTTTCTCACATATACAGCACTCCTGATCCGCTAATATTTTCTCTATATAGCGTAAGCAGAAATGTATAATCTCTTCAACTATTGACAATAAATTATGAATAATAAAGCCAAGCTAGTGCAAAGATTTGACACGAGTGCTGGGATAATTTTTATTCTCGAAAATTCTTAAACTCGATGACATTGGAAAGATTAATGGTTTTTCGGGAATAGAAATCTTAATCTCTCCATGTTTCTTCTTATTTCACCATTTTTTCCAACCCGTCCTATTAACAGCTACTAACAATTAATGCTCTCTTTATGCTATATAGGTGCTACGTATACAACAAATATATACTTTACTGACATGGGCAGATTACTTTATGTTTATATACCCTTCAAACACTCATTAATAATTCATAAGCTTATTGGCAAATCATGTCAACCATAATATGTCACGTGCAGTGGCTTTAAACCTGATAAAACACTCCTAATTAGTATTCTTTATATAAAGAATACTAATAAGGCAGTATCTATAGTAGTCGTGTCCTCATTAGTATTTTTTATATAAAGAATACTAATAAGGCAGTATATCTATTGAATTTGTAGTCATGTTTGAAGCCGTTTAATAAACTCGCAGGTCGTGTTTTATTAGGTCTAAAGCCACTCACGCTGCACGCTCGTGGCTTTAAACCTAATAAAACACTCCTGCTCGTTTATTAAACAATACTTAATGCATTAATTATATCAATGCAATTCTTGGAAAAATAATTATGAAGTATTTCTCGTTTCATACCTCCACGACTTTTCTTCCTTGATGATACTCGGACTTTTGCCTCTTGCTCCGTCGTCGGCTGGGGGATACACGCTTCTAAACTTAATTTCTTTAAAGCTTTTGCATGGGTATAGTTTTGATAACACTTTCGGTGATATCCATTATCAGCTGGAGGAAGCTCTTCACCGTACAAATCAAGAAGTGAAATAACTTTTTCATCATTTCTCAGTTTTGCAGCTTTATAAACTCACTCCCTCAAAGCTTTGCTGAAACTTATTATAGGTTCCGCAGTTTTCATGTACGTGCAAATGAGAATACAACCATGATTTTCCAGCTTTTTTTTCTTTTTTGGAGGTGAAGCATTTACATTAACCTCAAGAGGGGTTCTAGTTTTTCTAGTTTTTAACATAACTCAAAAGAACTTTCAATTTTTCCGACTTTTCTGAAATTTGACACCCTTTTTCATGAATAATGAAAACAAAAGACTTGTGGTGTTATAATTTGCACACTTGAAGTATCTCCGCTGCCGCTGGACAGAAACACTGAGGGCTCGTTTCTTCCCGCGAAAAACATAAACAAAATGGCGTTTTCTAAAAATCAATCGATGATGACAGAAAAGCTTGTTGGACAAGCCCCACAAGAAAAATTGGACCGGCCAACATCCGGAAATGTATTTAGGAGGTTTAGAAGAACATTTCTATCATAAAAAGAAATTGCCCCTCGATCAGTGAGTAAACACTCATATTTCGACCTCTATCTGTCCTATCTGCCCGACTAAAACACACTAATAAGGTGCTCATTCATATTAATGCAAGATGTTTATCTAAAAACTTTGAGGAATTTTCTAATTATTTGAGTCTTCTAAACCATGAGCTCTGTGTAATTGGCATTTCAGAAACCTGGTTAACTAATTTGACTTCTGGTCAATTTAATATGCCAAACTTTGAATTTATTTCATGTTGCCATTACAAACATCAAGGTGGAGGGATTGGTCTCTATGTAAATAAAAAAATTATAGTTGACAAAAGAAACAAATCAATTTAATATAAACATGTTAAATGTTGCCAGTAATCAATTATCTGCTGATTTTTTTCATACTATGATATCATATTCATTTATGCCTACAATAATCATCTGAAACATGTGTTAGTAGTTACAATGTTGATCTTTTGAAAGCTTGGAGAGCAAACATGGATATACAGTATGTTTTAGATCCCTATGTATGTGCTGTTTATATTTTGTCATATATAACAAAAGGTCAAAGAGGAATGAGCAAACTTTTAGAAAAAGCTAGTGAAGAAGGTCAAGAAGCAAAGTTAGGTAATAAAGCTTAGTTAAGTCAGATTAGACACATCGGGAACAAATTTCTTAATTCTGTTGAAATAAGTGCTCAAGAGACTGTTTATCTAGTGTTGCAAATGCCTCTGCGTCGATTATCACGTAATTATTTTAGAGAGCAACTCGTGCTTTATACTCCTTGGAGAAATGAACTCAAAGATCTTTTGGGAACATATGAAAGTTATTTGCCAATGTACAAGTCATTAGGTTTAATTTTGAAAAATAAGCAGCAATTTGAATTTCAATCTGATATTCTCAACAAAGCAATTGAAGAAATATCAAACAAAGAAGATTTAGAAAATCCTGTAATCAATTTCATGGTATTGCACCTAACGCACAACATCTAGATGAACAAGACCAACTTACTCAAAAACAGGCTAGTCAATTGTTTTGATCCTGGAAAAAATACAAATCACAGTCACTATGACTTGATAGATGATATTAGAATTTATCCCAGTTCAAATAATGTAGAGTTAACAACCAACCAAATGAATGATACTGACTTTAGGAACCTTATCAGATTTAATAGGTTTTGTTTTTGGAAACACCACGTAAATTTATTACTGCAAAGCTTTTGATCTGTAAGCCCGGATCTTCATCAGTGCTAATAATATGTGACTTGTTTAATTCACACACTCTTTTTATATACAAAAGTGTCGTGATCTGTTGGCTCGCGTCATTTGAAATTTAATTAAACGGCACATCAACCACGTCATTCCAAACGTAGTGAAGTGATTCCAATTAACGTGCGCGCATCCAAGACAAGAGAAATTAATTTTGCACATTAAAGAGAGCACGCCACGTACTATCTAGTGGCTTTCCCTCCTGATCTATAGTATTGTGCTTCTCGATTTCAATTGACTCTCTCATTTTTGACTATCAATCGCCAAAATGGTTGCTTCGTCCCATTTTATACGATGGTCGTAAGTCCAAGTATGTTTAGCCACAGCAGATTTATCTTGCTCGGCTTTCTCGCAATTCGTCTTGTGTTCCTTAAGACGTACTGAGAGATTTCGACCAGTTTCCAACAGATCACGACACTTTTGTATATAAAAAGAGTGTGAATTAAACAAGTCACATATTATTAGCACTGATGAAGATCCGGGCTTACAGATCGAAAGCTTTGCAGTAATAAATTTACGTGGTGTTTCCAAAAACAAAACCTATTATATTTTATCACCATGCAAACATACAAAGAACTTCTTATCAGATTTCTAAATAAAGCAGGCACAGTATATGTATTAATTCTATATATGTATTAATTGTAAAATTATTTTATCAAGGTAAAATATTGCATTTTCAGAATGTCGTCATGCGATGTGATGTCACACTGGTGATATTTGCATATCAAACAAAGTTGAATATCTTGCAAAGGAAGCAAGTTACCAAAATTGTATAAAAGAAATTATTAAGTCATTTTAAGTGATCTTTACAATGCAATCATAAACATATGGGGTGAAATTTCGTGTCATCCCTTACGAAAAAATCCTATAGGAATTCCTATAGGAATTCCTATAGGAATTCCTATTAGATTTTGGCCCAATTTCCTATAGGAATTCCTATAGGATCCTATACGAATTCCTATAGGAATTCCTATAGGATCCTATAGGAATTCCTATAGGAATTCCTATTAGATTTTGGCCCAATTTCCTATAGGAATTCCTATAGGATCCTATAAGATACTATAGGAATTCCTATAGGATCCTATAGGAATTCCTATAGGAATTCCTATTAGATTTTGGCCCAATTTCCTATAGGATCCTATACGAATTCCTATAGGAATTCCTATAGGATCCTATAGGAATTCCTATAGGAATTCCTATTAGATTTTGGCCCAATTTCCTATAGGATCCTATAGGAAATTGGGCCAAAATCTAATAGGAATTCCTATAGGAATAGGAATTCCTTAGATTTACATAGAAATTCATATTGGATCCATAGATATCTTATATATCATATAGAAATTCTTGCATAATCCTCTAAATCAAACTGCCTAAAAGAGTTATTTACCAAGGTGAAGGAAAAAGAGAAACTAGTGAAAAAAATTTATTACAGATAAAAATGTGGCAAATATAACAGGCTATATTTACATATTACATACTAATTTAGGCTATTTATCTTATGACATTTTTCATTGTTCTCAGTTTAAGAAATGTTTCTTATATTTTCTTACTTTTAGAAAATTTTTAGACATAAAATTGTACTATATTATATTACCTATATTATGTATTTAAAAAATAGAAAATTCTGTATGCACTACATAAGTTTTATTTTCTGTCATTCTTATAGATGACTATGTTTAGTTCTGATTGCACAGCAATGTGTTGTGGCGAATAGAGTTTCTCACAATGCCGTATTATAACACTTTCCACTTCACAATCAATATTATGATCTAACAAACCATTTGTTCAAGTCCATTGATTTCTTCATGTACATTTAATACTGCTCCGAGTACAGCATGCAAATGCCACCAGAGATCCATCATATTGGAATCTGTAAAAGGAAAACATTATTTATTTGAAAATATAATCATAATTAGTAAATTATACCCTATAAAAAAACTAGAACAATGGACTTGCTTCCTAAACTGAGACACTCCTCAGTCAGTTATAAGGGACTATTAACTCTTGATGTAAAAACAGTTTTTAATTAATATTTAACAATTATTGAATGAGGTTGAGCATGACATGAAGAATTATCAAGCCCAAAGTTTGCTGTTATCAACCAAAGGCTGAGGTTGATAATTGTTACAGCAAACTGAGGGCTTGATAATTCTTCATATTGTGCAAAAACCAAATTCAATAATTGTTTTATTATTTATTTAATTAAAAAAATCAAAACAAATGGAACCCATTTGTATTTTATTTGTATTAAGAAAAAAAATCCTAGTTAGTCCTTCGGCAGCCGTCATCGTCATCATATCAATGGCGTCAGCGAGTCGATATGATTCTCGTCGCAAACACGTCCCAAATTTTTTCATTTTGAAAAATCCATATTTGGTTAGCCACTGAGTTGATACGACAATTTCACAGTTGGCTGTTAGCCAATCAGAAACCAGAAATTTTTTAAATAAATAATAAGATTTATCCTTTATATATAAGATAATTTCCATAGTTTATTGTCATAATCACCATGAATCACAAAGACTACAGGTTCATATTGGTACAAGGTAATGCAGGGTGTAATATTACATACTTGGTTTGGTGAATAATCCAAGTGAAAACTAAGTCCTCTGGCAGTAATCGAACCTATGGCCCTGCGATTCTGGAACTCAGTTGGTTAGAGCGCTGCCCCGGAAGCACAGGGCTGTAGGTTCAATTCCTGGTCGACGATTTAGTGTTACATTTTTCGCAATCGTTCCTGGTTATAGGTCTTAATTAAATAGTGTCTATATATATATGTATATATATATATATATATATTGGATTATCCACCAAACCCAGTATTCTAGTCCAAACAAGTGAAGTGCAAATAATATCTTGTAATATGTATAGTATGTTAAGAAGAGACATGGCCGTGGGCAGAGAGTAGGGATATGCTGGATTGGGTTACTGGCATCCGGCAAAATATAGGCCATCCAAAACTATCAATGCCGTGCCACAGATATTTATGCTTAATATATAAAGTGATAAAGCACATATTAAATAAACTATGGACTATTGTTAGTGAATCTGGTTATATTTGCTGATTGTTGAAAACAATATTTGGAGCCAGGGCTACATACAAGCACTGCCCAGCTCAAATATTAATCTTGAAATATATACAAAGACAACATTTGGGGCACTGTCTCAGCACTATCATTACAAACATCACTTTATACAAGTGAAGCTCTTTATAAACCC